AGCCATATAATAAATATATTTAAATTTATATTTTTTATATAAATGGCTACAAAACAAAAATGTTTTAACAATTTGAAAATATTTTTAACAATTTGTATTTCAGCTCCCGTAATAGTTGTAAGCAAAACAGTATTTACAAGCTTTCAGTAATTTTATTCATTAGAAATTGTTTTCAAAAAAACCTCTACGCACTGCTAAACACAACCGGCAACTGTTGAAAGTGAGAAAGAAGTGATTTATTTTATTTTAAAATTTGTTATTTTGGTCCGGCGGAGGTGAACCAGGGATGAGCTGCAGGCAATCGACTAAAGACTGCTATGTTGGTATGCATCGGCTTACCTCAAAAGATCAATATCATTTTCAGCAAAGTCAGACTTATACCAAAGAAATATCTTCGATAATGTGACCTGTTAGTAGCAATAGAGATTTTGACCTGTTAGTATTAGAATAGACATTTTCAATTTGTACATACATGTACTAACTTCACAACCAAAATGTTACGAAAAAACGAGAAAAAAACCTCCAAACAATTGTACTCGGAAGTTGTTACAGACTGCAAACAAGTTGTAACAAGGTTGTTGTCATGCCGATATCAGGATGTATTAGCACTGCTTGTTCCAAGTTGTTGTGACAAGTCTGGAACATCATATCAATCTGGATTATCACCTTGTCACAAGGTTGACGACGGTAACAACGTTGCTACAAGTCGTTCCAACAAGACTAATACAGGCTGTTCGTAACGAGTTGCCACGAGTTTGTTGTTTACAACTTGTTACGTGCAGACGATATCAGACTTGTTGGAACAACTTGTTGCGAGTCTGTTGGCCTCATCAACCTTGTTACAAAATGATAACAACTTGTTCCAGACTTGTCAACAACTGGGAACAAGCAGTGCGAACACATCTTGTTGACAAGCTGTTATAAGATTTTTACGCGTGTAAAATACGGACCACGTCTGCAAATAAGTTGTTACAAATCTGTGTACAAGCTGTCGTCAAGTTGAGTTCGCACTGCTTGTTCCCAGTTGTTGAAACAAGTTTGGAACAGACTGTTACAAGGTTGACGACGACACAAGGTTGTAAGAATATTGTTATATCATGACTGTATCGGACTTGTTGGAACAACCTTGCAACAAATCTGATAATATCAACAAGGTTGTTAAGGTAACAGCTTGTTCCAAACTTGTTGACAACTTGGGACAAGCAGTGCGAACACAACTTGTTGAAGGCTTGCTGCCAGACAAGATGTGAGATTCTGGCGTACCCTTACGGCCTTACCCGTTTAGCATTCAAGTCGACATGAACTTCTTGAGAACAAAAGTTTTGAGCTGCGGCTTCCAAACCACGCTCAAGATTCGTCGTTGAATAAACATTGATTGCAGGACAAGACTGGAGTGAACGAATATTAATTATCAGTTGAAACAAGATTGGTTAAAAGTAATAGGGTGAAAGCGCATTTTAACGTACGTAGATTTGAAATTAATCTCAGCTTTATTCGTTCTGGATATCTTCCTGAAGATCCAGTAAGGTCACATTCACGCAGGCTGATGTGCCCCGCGCTTGTTACTAGCTGGAATTAATTAAGCAAGCTAGAGCTCTATCAGTTTCATACTGTTCTTCCTAGAGGTCCAGTGTTAAAGGATCATCTCTTATTGATTCAGTGTAAACTACAGGAGGAAACCTAAAGTGCCAAACTAAACTAACTTTCCAATTTATACCGGATAGCTCCATCACTCATCAGTTGTAAACTGTTTTCACTAGAGGTTCAGTAAGGGTCATCAGTGCCAGTGGTTATCTCTCATTGATCCAGTGTTTCTACAAGAGGAAACCTAAACTAAACTAACTTTACTTTACTGGATAGCTCTATCAGTTCTAAACTGTTCTCCCTGGGGGTCCAGTAAGGATCATCTCTTATTGATCCAGTGTTACTACAGGAGGAAACCTGAACTAAACTAACTTTACTTATACTGGATAGCTCTATCAGTTCTAAACTGTTCTCCCTGGGGGTTCAGTAAGGATCATCTCTTATTGATCCAGTGTTACTACAGGAGGAAACCTGAACTAAACTAACTTTATTTTACTGGATAGCTCTATCAGTTCTAAACTGTTCTCCCTGGGGGTTCAGTAAAGATCATCTCTTATTAATCCAGTGTTACTACAGGAGGAAACCTGAACTAACTTTATTTATACTGGATAGCTCTATCAGTTCTAAACTACAGGAGGAAACCTGAACTAACTTTACTTATACTGGATAGCTCTATCAGTTCTAAACTGTTCTCCCTGGGGGTTCAGTAAAGATCATCTCTTATTGATCCAGTGTTACTACAGAAGGAAACCTAAACTAACTTTATTTATACTGGATAGCTCTATCAGTTCTAAACTGTTCTCCCTGGGGGTCCAGTAAGGATCATCTCTTATTGATCCAGTGTTACTACAGGAGGAAACCTAAACTAACTTTATTTATACTGGATAGCTCTATCAGTTCTAAACTGTTGGAGGAAACCTAAACTAATCTGACTTTATTTATACTGGATAGTCCTATCAATTCTGTCTAAACTGTTTTTCCCCTGAAGGTCATTTCTGGAGGAAACCTAAACTAATCTGACTTTATTTATACTGGATAGTCCTATCAATTCTGTCTAAACTCTTTCTTAGAGGTCCAGTAACCACCACCATATTGATGCAGTATTACTACAGGAGGAAACCAAGATCCTGTACACAATCAGTGGTACAGTACATAAGAACCAACCTAGGAGCACTTCCCAGAGTGTTCTGGATCTCAACACTCAACCTACCTTGGCTCCACAAACCAAAGCAAAGTGTATCCGAGGATCAACACTTTGTAGCGAATACTGGAGACGAGGGTCACTGTCGTTGAATAAAGGATTGGGACTAGATGGGTGCGGTCTGTTGCCTGAAATATATTCACAAGAAGATATTTATCAATCATCTTTCATTTTTAATCCAATACAAACAAATCCAGATTCTTAAATTTATGTAAATTTTCATAAATAATAGCCTTTTATGGCTTAAATATGCTTGTATTGTTTTAGCTTTTGTTACACATTTCATCAGCTATCATATCAATGACTTTAACCCATTAAGTTGCATTGCTCCACACGATTTTACACAAGGGGAGAGCACTTATAGCACTGAATGGGTTAATTAACACATTACTGGATGGCTGTTAACATACTCCACCAACTGTATTCTTGCAGGGTAGCTAATTCACTGATTAAGCTGCAATGCGCCCAAATTATTATAATAATTTTACTCTGTCTAATGAGCCAAACAATTTATTTGTTAAGGGAAGAGTCTTGTGCTTTAGGGGGTTATAAAATCACTGCAATTACCTCTGAGAATTCCATGTTCGATGTCATCTAAAGTAAATACATGACCACCGATGTTATATGCGATTGATTTCCAAAAATTTTTCACACCTAACACTGATGACGGCACACCTTGTTCACATATCCCGTGAATTGTCAGAGCATTATAAATATCTATGATGTATGTGTTAAGATATGGTTCATTACTTGCATGTACCTTTTTATCCACATTGTATTAGGGAAACAAGTATAATATTATATATGAACCATCTCTGACAGATAATTTGACCATTGAGCTGGCCAACATTTCCCTTAACAAGTAAAATCAAGCAAGAAAATAGACCATCCTAGTCCAATACCAGTTACTGTAAGGGGCATTGTCCCCTGATGCACCCTGCTTTTGTTATTTTACTCTGTCTATATTAAACACCAGCTAGCATACTTTACTTGCATGTCAAGGGGAGAATGCTGCTGCTGAAATGGGTTAATCATTACCGGTGATGAGTTGTGATATCAAGTTAATGCAATACAATTAGAGTATAAATTATTGCATGATTGATGTCAGGAGGGTATTATGAAAAGGATCATTATTGTATACTATTATTGCACTGGGCAATTGACAGCATTTGGCTTCAATGATAGACAGTTGTTGGATGAGGTTTTTGTGATATCCAGAATTATCAAGGTCAAGTATTATCAGTTGAGCCAAAGGCATGACTGCATGATACCACTTACCAAGACCTTAGCTATAGCTTGATAATTCAGGATATCACATTCAAAAAACAAATTCAATGTTCAATAACTCTTTCGACAAACAATGACTCAACGCAGGTGGCTCGACCTACACATAACCTGGTTACCTGCTATCAGATAACTGAGTTATGTGTAGGTTGCGTGATCTCTATGATAGACTGGCCAATCAGAAGACACGCAGTGACTATAAATGTATGGTAATTCTTGATATATTCATGTGCTCAACCACATTCAATTCGTAATGGCGCCAGTGATCTTCCGTTGACAAGTAAAATCGTCAGGTGTTAGACAGAGTAAAATAATAAATTAGGGCGCCTTAATTGGGGCGCATTGACACTTTAATGGGAACTAATTAAAATTCATAACAAAAGATACTAATGAAAAATGCCATCTTTTGCTGATCTGTAAGTGTAGCCAAATCCACATGAACCAGCCTGGAAGATTCCTCAACATATTCGGCAAATGTTTCACTAGTTCTTATCCCATTGTAGTCAACAGACTTCCCATCGTCGCACATGAATTTCCCCTTAATTTGTAACATAAGTTTTTGAAGGCGCTTTGAAATATCCTCCCCATTTTCAGCCAGAATTTCACAGGAAATTTCCACATTTTGGTTAATGTTGAGAACGCGTATTTCTGCCATTGGACAGGAATTAATCAAAACAAATTATAAAAGACATAAAATAGAGCTTGAATTTTTTATTTTGTGAAATTTTCCACGCATTTCTTGTCAATTTTTTCTTATATTAATTATTTAATTCAGTATCCGCGCAGTTCAGATATATTTTTGAGATCATCGCAACCTGTCTGCAGGCAGCTCAATTGCCTGAGCAGGCGAGAACAGTCCGCCTTCAAGATTTCGCCATTTTCCGAACTCTTATGAGTTTTCTGGAACGAAAATGGTAAATTTTACATAAATTTCTCAATGTTTTGCCATTTTTACACCGCTATGACCTACTCACGTTTGTGTATTCTTGTAATTTCCTAGAGCTTTTTAGGTTTTGGCCAATCGACGGACATATTTATAGATTTAGAAGACTCGGACAAGCGAAAGCAAATCGAAGTACGAAACGAAGAAGGGCGCAAAGAGAAATTGCTCTTATATTATGATGGAGAAACTGTCAAGGGAAAGGTATGTCCCAGGTTTAAACTGGGCTTTAAAAAGCTGCTATATATAGCTAGGTTTTTGCTATGTTCCTGGCATAATGCTTCTTAAATTTATGGTTAAATTGACCTGTTAAATCTGAGCTCAAACCGTCAGTGTTAATATAAGGTCTTTTATTTGCAGTAGCGTTCGAAAATAGCGCTGCATTTTATTAAATTACGAGTATTTAAATGCATTTTAAATGCATAAACTGGTTGCACATGTACTGTTTATGTGTTCAAGGCATAGAATTCGTCTTTATTTGAGGTGTAGTGTTGAAATTTGTTGATTTTTTTGGCAGTCACATGACTGGTACTGCACTGTGATATTAATTTAAAACGATCACCTTTGCAAATCGGTATTTAAATATACTGATTTCGAAAGTAAAAGCTTAAAATGTGGTAGTTTAAATAAATCCATTTAGAAAAAGGGGTTTTATATCATGATGGATTAATGGATTTATTTCAAAGGATGTTTGAAATGATTTGACGATACTTGCTTCTGCACAACAGGAAGTGATTGCCATTCTAATTTGTATCGAGTAGTTCCTGTAATAATATGGGCCTGTTTGTGTGAGGAGAATTCACAGACGTGCTTTACGTAGCGTGGTCGCCAACGTTAGCATCTAAAAATGAACTGTGCTTATCCTAAATAGTGATCCAGGATCCTTATATTGCCAAAACCGTGGATGTTTCCTCTTGCCCGAAAAAAGTAATACATTCAGGAATGCCAGTACATTCCTATACCTATAATTGCTAAAATGTGAAACTATGTTTAGTTATACAGGGTGTCTCAAAAAAAACCAAAATCATTGAAATAATGTATTGTTCGAATTTCAATGCCGTAACACAAAGGATTTTGACAGGGTGATTAATTTGTTTTAAAAAATTAAAATATCTTTGTAAAGTGAACGTTTGTTTGCTCATGGGAATTTAAAAATGCTTCGTAAATTGTAATATGCGTAATATTCGTAAATTCGTGGGTTTAGTACTTTATGCCTGACATAACAAGTTTACGCTGAGTATTACCATTCATTATAGCAGTTATGGCAATCTTTTATGCACTCGTGGGATTAACTTAGTGCTAGGGCATTGAATTTCGAACAATACGTCAATTTCAATGATTTTGTTTTTTTTTGAGACACCCTGTATAGTGTAAGACCAGCCAGAAATCAGCAGACCAGGCATACAATGAATACAAAATACATCAAACGAACTGCATCGTTAACGGCTTATATAAACTGACTAATGAGATTCCCCGTATTTATAGCATTATGCATGCAGGCTCGCTCGCTGCGTTAGCAATGAGTACTTCAGTGAAGTTGGACCTCAACTTGCTGCCAATCTATCTCAAAGTTTGGAATCACCAGAGTCGTATTTAGTACGCTGCAAATCTCATTTTCAAATTCAAAACGTCACTATACAAGAGGTTTTTAAACTCCTTTCAGAAGTCAAAACGATGAAATCAATCGGGCACGATGGAATTCTGAATAAATTATTGAAAGACGCAGCTGACATTATAGCTCTTTCATTGACATATAATTTAACGCATCAATTAAGACGGGCATATTCCCAAATGATTTCAAAGTGGCTATTATTTCACCAATTCATAAATCAGGGTGTAAGACGCATTGTAATAACTATAGACCTATCTCGGTTTTGTCTGCTATTAATAGCCAAAATATTGGAGAGCTTGATTACTAAACAATAAGAAACTTATCTGGAAGAGAATGGCGTGATCACAGAACATCAGGCCGGGTTTAGAAAACAACATTCTACCCAAACATGCCTTCTTAACATATATAAACATGGACAAAGGATGTCTGAATGGTGTTCTATTCCTTGATTTAAAAAAGGCCTTTGATTGTGTAGATCATGATATTCTTCTCCAAAAAATGCATGTGTACGGCATACAAGAACAAGCACTTAAGTGGTTCAGATCCTATTTAACTGACAGGACACAAATGTGCAAAATAAAACAAACAACATCTAGTAAAAAAATCACAAAGTGCGGTATTCGTCAGGGCTCAAACCTAGGCCCACTACTCTTTTTATATATATTAATGATCTACCTACCGCCTTTCTTCTAGTACTAGTGTAAGTATGTTTGCAGATGATACAAATGTATCATCATGTGGAGCAAACGTACATGAAATTAATGAAATATTGAATAAAAACTTGGAGAAGGTACATCCATGGCTACTTGCCAATAAACTCACATTAAACAGCGAAAATTAAAGATCTATATCATAATATGATCTAAACAACGTCTAGCTAATATAATTAATGATTCACAAATTGAACTGAGACAAGCAAATATTAAACGAGTTAATAAATCCAAAACATTAGGTGTAGTAATTGACGATCATTTAAGGTGGCTCCCTACGGTTATTCTTGTTTGAGCAATAATTCCGTAAAACAGGCTTATTCGTGCAGAACGCGGATTCTTTTCGACTTGGTGGCAATATTGGTTACCTAAGGAATATTTGGAACTAGATTTCGACAACGTCAATGTTCCCATGGCAACATGACCACAGCATAAATCCTTCCAATTTAACCCATAAATGTGCCGCTATCTCAAAAACGATGTCGGTGACCTATCTTTTTTATTTCATATATATCAATAGGGAATGATGCTCTGCAATTGTGGTGAAGATTTAAAAAAATTCTGTAGTGTGTGATTTTTTTAAAAACGAAAATTTTATTGCGAAATTTCCACACTAAAGATTTTTTTTTAAAAATTGAAATTTATAAAATTTACCGCAAAGTAAATTCGTGGTCAAAATTTGAAGATAGGTCACCGATGAAACTAATGAGTAAAATGCAAATAAAGTTAGAAAATAGCCTCGTGTAACTCGAGAAATTCCCCTATTGAAAAACGTCGCTGACTAGTAAAAGATTGCACGCGGGCGCAGTACGAGTTTTCATTCAGCAAAATCGAGCGGCAATGTTGTTTTTTACTGTTTTGTTTTTGTCAACTTTTCGATTTATTTGAGTGCCATGGACAGCCAAGGATTATTGTCCGATCTATCAAATCGATGAAAACAAGGTTGAAGCTAATTGAATCCTGCCGTTTACTCAACCTATGAGCTGCAACAGCCTACTAACAGGTGGACTTGTTTTTTTGTTTCATGTTTGGTTTTGTACTTTTTGCTAAAAATGAACAATTAGGCTATGAAACTGAAATATTTTTCTGTTTACATATAATCACTTTAATCTTGTAGAAACACGACTAAAAACGTGAACGTTTTCTTGAGAAGTAAACAACTTTTTAAACATTTGTATGCAATTTAGCAAATGTTTTACAGTTGACAGTGTATATTTTTAAAAATTTAAAAAACATTGTTTCGTAGCTATTTTTTGGTCTAGTGATATTCGTATCAAATGTAGAATTGCTGTATAGACTCGCAAGTAATTTGGCACTCAAAACGAAGTATTATTCAACGCTTTTTTCCATTAGAAACCTATCAGAAATAACTTTATTTAAAAAAAACGGTGGTCAATTTTTGTTTTGTTTTGATCATGCGGTTGCGTGCGATAGTTCACGTACTGGTCCCACGAACATCCCGCAAGCAACTGTAGGGAGAACATGGAACACGCAGATCGATAATATCGCGAAAAAGGTTTCTGAGAGCATATGTATGCTACGTCGAATTAAAGAATATGTATCTACTCCTACATTAACTAAAGCACCCAATCGCGATATCACGCCTTACGTCATCAATTAGCGAGCCTGCGTTCCTTTTGACAATGTTCCACCCGATGTTCCCCGGGGAACATGGGGTGAAACATTATTCGCGTAGACCACGCGAGACAACACGCATGACAACAACACGGCCGACAAAATATAAATAGTATTGATGGGTGATGAATAATCTGGGTAAGTGATGTAAATGATTTATCATCACTTTGGGCAATGTTTCGCCGAATCCCCCTCGCTCCAGGTCTATAAATGATAATTGTTATATATACTTATTTATATTTATAATATAGCATTTGTAAATTCTGAACGCTGATTGGCTAAGAGCCGTGTTGATACAACTCAATGTCAACACGGAAAGGTCGGAATATCTCTTTGTGCTGCGTTATAAAACGAATATAAAACATTTTTTCCGTATTGATATTTAAGAATTATTCGCCGAAGGCGAAGTGATATTCACCGTAATCACTGAGCCTGAGGCAATTGTTTTAGTATAGTTTTTAATGAATAAAACAAATATGCAAATATCAGTTCAATTCAAATTCAAATTCAGAAATAAAACTGTTTTTCGCCTGTTTACGCCTTACGGTTACTGTCACTAATAGTGTTGCAGTGTTTCTTGTACGCTTTCAAAATGACTTCTTTTGCGACTTTATTGCTTTTATTACAAAGTTGTTTTTCTCGAATTCTGCTTAGAATATAATCACAATAACGGAATAACTTTTTCACCAGACTTAGGATTAAAACATAGTTTCTGTTTAGCATTAATTTTTCAGGAAATGGCTGAGGAATTTGGTAAAATAAAAATAAAATGTAAAACTATATCGTTCGAAATAAAGTTTTAATGACGTCACTTTTCACTTTACAAGTTTCGAAAACACAATACAGCGGTCAGAACACTATACAGCACAATGAAAACATGACGTATGAAAAGAAAT